GATTCAGCGTTTTCAAAGTGTACAATACGGCCGACTTGTAACTCAAAGCTATTAGGAAGTAGGTAATTAGTACAGCACGTTGGAAGAAAGTCGGAGAAAAATATTTCTCGAGGGTAGAGTTGAGGACACAGTGACAGTGTATGGATGTGATTGGTAGTCTACCTAAATGAGACATTTGTGTGAAAAAACTAGTGCAAAACTGAGCAGTGGCGCTACACATATGTGTATGGTCGTCAATAAGAGGTACACTGTAGCGGCAAAATGTTGGGAAGCGCGGCAGTAAGAATTCTAAAATGAAAACTTAGAAGGGTGAAAAGATATCATAACTTCAAAATCCAAGATGATGAAAATGGATGATAAAGTATTGAGTAATATGTCATAAAAGAATTCCCAAATCGACTACTTACCCATTTCTCAATTGTGTAATCGATCCTACAAGGAACAGAAATGGTTGTGCTTTGGAGCGGATAAAGAAATCCCTAGGTATGATCTTCGGTATAGGAGGGCACTCAATGAAGATACGTCAGGCATGTGAATGACGTATATAGAACGAGGATAGACATGTAGAATGACGATTTGTGGTTCCAAGAACTGTTCAGGGCATTATAAAAAAATGGACTGGAACGACGCATCTTCCATTACTGGAACAAGAGAGTGGGGTAGCTCTTATTAGGGGTTCTGAATGAGTTTATCTCTGAAACAGTATTCAAGTCTTATAGGCCTGCTTAAGGAAGGCATCAGGTCTTTTTAAGTGTTATACTGGCTGGATTATTTAACAGCTTGTTGGCAAAGGTACCAGGCGCTTGTGCACGGATGGTTAAGGAAACGGCACTGCGAATCATTTAACCAAATAAATCATAAGCTCGAATTAATAATCTTATAATACTTTTAAGGCAATAGCCATTATGGTTATTTAAGTTTTTAGCTCCAAATTCTCTCTTTTTCTTCTCTCATTTGGCTGCTTAAAACAAATTGGCAAAAAGGAAAGTTCATATGCTCCTGCTTTGCTTATAATGTCACCAAATTATATTTGACGTTGGCGGTGATATAAACTGCAGAAGAACATTCATTCTTCCTGAAAGGGCGAGCATTTGTGGCGTAATGAACTAAATATTCAGCGTTTTGATGGCATAAAGTTGCCCGTCAACATGCAGATTTTCTCTCTGATTAAATCCACACCAGTGTTTTCCCAGACTTTTCACAGGGAAAAGCATGAACACAGACCACGTGATCGCACTAATGCTTTTTTCGCCCTCACGAACCTCTTTGACGCTTTATTCCCCGCAGACTCGATCAAGCAAGAACGTACAAAGGTGCGACAGTGGATGCCATTTGCAGGGACTACATACCCTCCGGGCACATGTCTGCGTTTAATCAAGAACACATTTGGCCTTAGCAACATTCCAAAATAGTAAGCGAGGAATAGCGTATCGAACGCATTGCTCTTGTAAGACTCAATGAGACTGCACCTCCATCGATTTCAAAACTAGACTGCCTGTTCTTGTTCTTAAGAAAGCAAAGGTTGGTGTTATTGGTGGGAAAGCATTTAGATGATGCGGGACGCATGCATTACACGGTCACACAGGCCACACTTTGAATTTGCTTCCTAAAGGATCATCTGGGGAGACAGTTGCTTGGTTTTCTCAGATAACAAGAATGCCAAATTCCATCTGTGTCATTCCCAACTTTCTTAATTGATTCGTCCGTCCGTGCACACAAGGGCACCAACAAGATTGTTTCTCAGGGGGCAAGAAGATTTTCGAGGAACCAGAGCAAACACTCTTTACCAACAAACTAATAAATCGTTCATGGAGGAAGGAATTAATTCCAAGCTATTTTCGAGCGAAGTGGTTATTTTGTATTCCATTTACCCCTTTTTTCTCTCGTCTTTTCTTTTCCTTTTCCCCTTTTCCCCTTTCATTTTGTTCTCAAAATGGGAGTTAAGTTCCCCCTCGGTCCCTTGGGACGCCTACATCCATGCGTTTATCTATTTCTGTTCATATACCCATACCGCCGCCATTACAATTTTTGTTTCCTATCAGTTTTCCTCTTGTCTCTCATCTCATCCGATTTGTGTTACAATAATCCCTTTTATTAATGCAAGTAAAACCAGTGGGCCTGGCGTTTGATTAGAACCCCCTTCATCGGTTGAAGAGAACCATGTTGGTGGAGAATGTTAATTGTGTTGGTAGCGACGCAACCGTCACGCGTGCGTTTCTTTAAAGGCGCCTTTCCATACCTATACGTTTTTATGGTGCGCTGCGTACACGATGTGTTCGTGCGTTTCACTTCCACGGATACAAAAATCGACACCATTAACATAACACACGTCTGTGTTGCGTTCGGCAGTCAAAATCGCCCGGGAGCGATTTGGACGGATACGCAACGCTTGGCGCAAGTGCTGACGTACATTTTGGAAAAAGGCGCCTTTAGTCTTCTGCGAACTAGCGAAGTGCAAATTCCACTAAATGACACTGCATTGCTAACAATTTTGCGCCCTCTCTTGGTCCAGCTTGGGGCTCATACAGGTTCTTTCAAAGACCTTTGAAGAAGGTCTATTTTGATAAGTATATTTCAGAGTACGGTGCAGTAGTCGGTGTTTATTGTTTGTAACAGGGCTTTTCTTTACATATCAAAAGTAAATCAATGATTACAAGATCATGGACGTCTGTATATTTTGAGCTTTTTTGTCCGTCTACCTTTTTTGTTATTGCATCTGACATTTTTCTCATTCCTCGCTCAAACATGGCTCGCTGTAGTACCGTTCAGGCGATATCCTTTTTTTCTGAGCATAAAGCGCATAGCAAATGGCTAAAGTAACGTTTCAACAACTGACATTTCTGGGTTGTCGTCACGTAGGATCTCCCAATATTGCAACACTGCGGTGTATAGATGGCATCAACTGAACACCCGAATGTTATCGCCCAACGTAGGAAAAGAAGATTACTTCCCCTTTATACTGATCGTACATACGCACGCACGTGCGCAGGTGAAACACGCCAGAGAAGCCTCACTTGCGTCAGATCGGGCGGCACGGACCCTATGAAAATGTCGGCAGGCCCCAGCGCAAAGCTAACATGACATCACACAAAGTGTCGGCTTTGCAAGGCCATCCCCACACCACCCTTGGGGGGAGGTCGGCTGATGCTAGACAAATTGCAGTGCTTCATATGAGCCTCTCAAGCTCAGGTCCGTGGGAGGGGGGGGGTGGCTAAAGCGAACGGGGGACGCCGTGGACAATCACATTACACCAGCCGAGATCTTGGCCTGGCGTCCCCGACCGCAGCCCGATAGATACTCTGTTCCTAAATTTCTCGGAATCTCCGCACTCCGGCCGCTCAAATCCCCAGAAGCTGCGTTGCGCTACCATCTTTTCCCAGCCAGTAGGCTGCTTTCAAATGCGTGTGGTAGGCCTATCATTTATTTCAACAGTGGACTAGGCTGCGAACGTCCCCGGGTTATATATTACAAAATGATTGCAGGCCGCCAGCTTTCCATTATCTAAATGATTATATATATCTGGAATGGGTAACCTGGCATTCATCGTACATATTTCAGCCTGTGCGCTTCTGCTCAAGACTGTTTACAAATAAATCCCAATTTGGTTCTTTTTCCTCTTTGAAGTTGTTGCAAGGTTAATGGATATTTAAATTATAAATTACACTATTTTTACTGAAAAATTAAGAAACAACTGCCCTTAAGCCCACGCTAGTCCGAATACGTGTCACAAAACCTGACAAATGATTCTTCGGGCCTTATACGATGAATCTCCCAAAACATAACACCAAAGATTATCGTTTCACGAAAATGAATACCTTCAACACCCGTAATCTCCCAATTAACTACGCGTGCTGTTACTTGAGAAGGAGCTTAAGGTTTTTAAGATTTAAAGTATTCCATTTGGGCTTGTAGCGGTTCAGCGAATGTGAGGTCCTCAAAACCAATGATGTTGTAGGACATTCGATACCAAAGTTATACGTGGTATTAGGTTTCGCCTTTTGTGCAGTACTCAAAATCCATGATGTTGTAGGACATTCGGCACAAAAGTCATACGTGGTATTAGGTTTCGCCTTTTGTGTGGTCCTCAAAACCCATGATGTTGTCGGACATTCAACACAAAACTCAGGATGGTATTAGGTTTCGCCTTTTGAGGCAGCCAGGTTACTCCGAAGCTGAATTACTATGAAGACTCTTCCTCATGGATAAACCTTGGCAATGCAAATACAACAGCACTCTCCTGAGAAAAGCCGTTGGCAATGTTGACCTTCCATTATTTCAGGGTACATGTATGAATTGCTTTGCATATGTTTTATTTTCTTGCAGAGTGTGGTCCTCTATAAATTAAGTGGTCTTCACCATTAAATTATTCAGATTACAATGCACGAAGAGCCTTTTAGTTTTTTTTCATTTCTTGACTTAAGTAGGAATTTGATGTAGCGATCAAGTTCAATGTTAGAGAATGAGAGTGTGTCTGGGTGATTTAAACTAAAGGGTTATCCACAAAATAAAACAAAAACGCACGATATAGTCTTCGCCATAAATGAACGCAACCCTAACACGTGGGAAAGAAAGATTTTAAATGTTAAGGATCAATTTCCTGAAAGTAACCGATGTTGTCTTCTGAACGTTTGGAAAGGCGGCGCAAAATATTGTTGGCATCCATAAAGACAAGCACGAATCCTTCTTCGGCGAGGTACTGTAGTGTGCATTTTGCAAAATTATTGACGGAATGGTGGCATCCGCCAATGGTCCTCCTGCAAACTACCGAACTGTTTCCAATTAGTGATTAAACAAGACTGAAGGTCACTCAGGAAAAATTCCTGCTGGCGTTTAACCTGTTCCACTTCTGTTCGATCCACTTTTCTATCGGCAACGTTCGTGACATTTTTTATTCCTCCTGTAAATTTACAGTTGATTTAATCTTCCTGGCCAAGTGACTTGACAGTGTACCTCAACACATAACTGCGAGAAAAGCACTCAAGAATTGTGGGAGAAATCAATTAAATAAATAACATGCCATATTTCATTTATTTGATCTCGCTGTTCCACTAAGGCTAAAAACTAGATTGGCGCAGTGATAGCATTCTGTTGAGAAACCTACAGCCCAAGATTCTGTTTAAATGTTAAAGCGTACAGATCGTATTTTTAGTGATCTTGATATGTCAAGCTACTAATGTCTATCGGTCGAGTTGATATGTCCCCTTTTGAGTCATTTTAAAGTCTAAGACTGTCACCATCTACAGTTTTTAAATTGTCTCCAGTGTCAGAAACAAGCAGATGGTCTTTTCGATCGGCTGTCAATATAATATTTAAGAGTTAGGCTATGTAACTATTGTAGCATACTGATTATTATGTAAGGCAAAGAGAAATGTTACATAACTAAATACTATAAAGCTGCAAATATTTTTTTATAGTGTAAATGATAATTAATACCTCTGACCTCTCAAAAGTATTAACAAGGACGAGAACCAAAGGTTCTTCCTCTGTATTTAGTTTATTTAAGTTGTTTTGAAAGTGCAGTGTGTTAACAATCTATTTCGGCCCATGACGGAAGTATCCACATTAAATGAACAAATAAACATTGTTCCTGATTTTTTTACAAAGCAAATATTGTAACACTGCACCTTTGACATCTCATTACAGATCGCAATCTCAAGAGTAACCATAAAAGCCACGTACACAATAAATTTTTAAAAATGAAGTGGTCTAAAATCAGAAAAACCGCTGCAAGTCGGAAATCGGAAATGAGGGTGCAGGAAAATACGATTTCAGTTGAAATCACCTGTGAGACAGGACAGACGATTCAATTCTTTATACGGACACACCCAAATTAGAGATCCATTTGTTTACACCAAACACTTAATGGTCCATTTCAATGCTAACTGTTGCAAATGATTTCATGAATAAAGTGCCCCTGATGGTGGATTATATGATTTTGTGGTGTTAGCGTAATTGTTTGTTTCCCTGTGCTAGCGAAAAGACACAAGGTGAACAGGGACCATTTCTCTTTTCATTTTCGGTTTTTGCATCAAACAAAAGCCTCGTTATGTCCAACCATCGTCTAGGAGTCGGGTTAAAAATTAAATGCTTCAAATTGTGAATTGCAAGTTCCCTTCTGGTTTCCTAACAAACCACTGATTGTGATTCTGTATTCAAAGAATCAAGGGAATAAAGAAAGGATGTGAACTATTAATGGACCCTAGAAATGCATCACAAAAACACCCACTTATGAAAATCGACATATCAAGCAAACCATGGGACAGAGAGAGCCCCCCGCCTTTGTGTTGGTCCTCTGTCCCATTTCGTGCCCGGTATAAAAATTACACTTACAGGATTAATTCACTGTAACGGCGAAAACATAGCGGTGTGACTTTTGTCGTGACTCTTGGATTTCGTTTTTGTGTTGATTTGAATTTCTGCGGAAGTACCTCCACTTTAAATCGTTTTCTCTGAATTGATATACGGAGTTGCATTTCATCATCGTAGGTTCCAGTTCCAGTTCAGATTTTATGTGTTCGCATCGCTACGACTGTGTGCTGAAATCGTCGAAAAATAACATATAGACAAAAGGTACAGGAATCTCTTGTTGAAATCAGACAGGTATTTCAGAGTTCGTGTTTAAGAAATTAATATATGGAGAATAAAATTCAAAGACTAATATAGTTGAAAAGTATTTTACAATTTTCACGATTACAGTACGTCTTCGTGTCAATATATACTAGTGTTTTTCGAAGTGATGTTTTTGGTTTGTTAATTTAATCTGTAGGTTAGGTCGTTTTAAAGGTGTTCATTTCCTAGGTAATTCAAGAGGCTACTAGTTAACTTCCAATCTAAGTTTAAAAAACAGAAACAAAGGAATATTTTTCTAAACATAAGCTTGCAACGGTTATCCTTTTTTCGATTTTCTCAATTAAAACATGCAGGTACTTTCGTACTAAACGAAATAATTATAATTATAATAATAATAATAAACGAAATAATTCCCCACTTTTTTAAAATCTGTCAAACGGTAGTATTTAATTAAACAAGTGGATAAAAAATATGTGTCCCTTTCAAACGCCATATTTTTAGATTGATCATGTTATTTCACGTAGATCACAACCATATCTTTTTGCCAGTGTAGTTATTTCCTGGGCTGTAATTGTGCTGACTAAAAACCCCAGGTTTACCAAGGATGAATAGTTGGATTGCAAAGCAAGGGAAAAACAAGGCTTACTAAGGATCAGAGATTGATTGCACAACAAGGAAGTTGTTCCTACGACTGACCCTGCATCGTCTAATGCAGCCCTAATATACTTACTTTATTTAGAAGTCAGGTATTAAGGTAATCTTCAATTCAAAATAATCGAGACTACTGCAAAATAGTACAATAATGACATGGGTGCTGAGGTTGTCTCGAAGGAACCAGCATTTCCTTTCTTAGGGATCATGTTTCAGCATCATGCTATATTCTATTCCCAGCCATGGTAGTGGAATATCCTGTCCGAAAACGCAGGTCCTGATTTTCACAGTGACTGATCAGTCATTTAAAATGTCCCATTACCTTAAGATGATTGTTTTTGAATGATTGACTACAAGTGGGTTGAGCAACGATCCGCACAAGGTTAAGTTTGTCTAATGCAGAAGCACTCGAAGGCCGAAAGATACGTGACAATAATGTGCAGGGGAAGCGAACACATTGGCAGATTATTTCCATCCAACCTTGAAGAATTTTGGCTCTCTTTCGGACTCGAAAGGCCTTCGCATCATTGCCGGCTGTAGCCAACAGTTAGCTCGTTAAAGTTGATTGGCTGAAACCCCTCATTATTGGAACCCATCCAAGTTCACCCGCATTGTCTGACCTTCAGTAAACCAGTCATATACCTTAATTTTGTCTGGTACAAATGATTAGACAATGACTACTGTTGCAATATATACTGGCGAGTTGCTGTTCATCGTCGGAGTCATAAACCGTCGGTTTTTAGATCAGTCGCCACAGCACATAAATCAAATCAATTTGGATTTCAAACAAATGGTAAAGTTAATTCAAATATACATTCTTCCCAGGAAAATAAATGACACCCACAGGTGAAAATAATCTGTTACATCCCTCTGATTGCACGCGAACACTTCACGAAGAAATGTTAATTAAGCGCTTAAGGTTTTTTCACCGATCCTACGCTGTTAATCCTCCTCATTCCTGCGATTGAACTGCACCGTCTGCCTGGGTTAAACCTCTGGAGTCCCCTAGATGGTACTTCCTACTTTCTCGGTACACGCCCTTGCCCTCGTAAAATTGCCGGACCTAAAGAGAAACCACAAAACAGGGAAACAGACAAATATGTCAGATTTAACTAATAAAGAAGTAGTTAGGCGACATAAACCCTAAAACCGTCTTTGTCGTTTGTGTCGCTTTCAACATGGAAGAATGTTCCGCAACCCAACACACCCCCCAAAATAAGATGGAAGTTGCCTTATGGTCAGGCTTGAAGAATGTGATCTTGAACAAATGTTGCAAGATTGAACATTCTGAACAACCGTGGACGTCTGTGCCATTTATGGATGTCCACATTGTTTGGGATATTGAACTGAATGATATCTCAAAATATCGCACTGCGGAACAGGAAGTGTTGGCCAGCGTGCTCCGGAACAACACTGTAAAAATAGTTATCCAGGTTTTTGAAATTCGACGGAATTTTGGTTACTGAAAGTACATGTCAGCATTGTTTCAGATTTATTTATTTCTTTTAGATTTGCTAAGTTCGAATGGCACCAATTGTCTTGTGGGACACATGTCCTTCCTGACAAAATCATAGTTCAGTTTATGGTAAGAAATATGATTACATGAACCACTGTCTTTTTAATTCAAATGCCTTTTTCCTTTAAATGTATACAATGTTTGGTAAAGAGTTCCACGGAAAAAAACAAAAAAACAAAAAAACAAAAAACACACACACACAAAACAAAACTGTATCGGGTTGATGATCTTGTTTGATGTCTGTGAAATGACCATGAAAGTCTTTACATTATACCCTTCCCCTTTTGAAATTAACTGTGTCATTGTCCTTTTTAAATTAAATGCTATACAGCCAAAAATCAAAGGCGACAGATTCAATTGAAATAGGGACTTCCCCAAATTATCGTCTGCTTGGTAATTTCCCCCTTTCCAATACCAAGCGAATCACAATTTCCTGGACAGTTCTCCGTTCAACGCTCGCTCCCTGAAAGACAAGAGACGAATTGATAATGCATTTATAATCATTTCTTCCTGGGAAATGTGTTCCATTTCTCGTATTTGGAATTTATACACCCTTTACAGAATGCCTATCTCTCTTCCCTTTCTCTTCACCTTGGCGAAGAGAATTAGCGCTTTCCTGAATACCGAGTGCTTTTAGAACACGAAATGATCGCCCGGTGAGAATCTCGGGAGAGTACGGTAAGTACACCTGATATGTTTTTCTCGTTCATTGGGTGTGAGAATGGTCCACCTGCGATGTGCTGACACAGAAATCGAGACGGGTAGATTAGAGGGTCTTGGTTAGCTCAGTACCAGTCCTTGGAGGTGGTCATGGCCTTTTGCCCGTTCATGCACTTGTTGGTAAAGGAGGGACCTAACTTGGTTTCTGAGAGCTAATTCTGTCAATTTAAATTGAAGGAGTGAGGTAGTATGTTGTGTTCATGACTCTTCGAAAAAAGTGAAACGCACTTTCTACAGACTTTTCCGATTAGACGCCATAACTTTGGTGGTACTGCATTCACACGCAGCTTGACGCGCATGTGCATTTGGCAAATCACGACACCCTATTGGTCGAAGAGGCAGGTAACGCGCGCGTACCGCCTGTCCACGAGGGTTGTGCTACCGCAGTAATGACAGCTAGTTCTCGTCGAATTCGTCGGATGTATTCTTGAAGAATAGAATGCAGTTAAATTCCGTCTGTCTTGTTTGGATTAGGCCTACACTCTGCCGTTTTCGGATTCCATCAAAATTACCACTTTTATCTTTGGTTTCCCTACCGCAGATGCCAGTTTCTTGTGACCTTATAGCTTCGAGCATTATGTGCGAATGCTCCGCTTACGTAAAACGGTAGCTAAAAAAAACAAGTGCCGAATTGTAAGTACACTAAAGATAACATCTGAAGAAAATTTGATGCCGAACACTCGATCGAATGATATCGAATGACGCGAACACAACAATTTTTGAGACAACTTACCCTGTCGAAATTTTCCGGAACAGCAAGGACACTGGACTGGTTAACTTATATATAATGTCAAATTTTGCAACTCAAAGTATGTATAATTCTGATGGAGATTTCTTGAAGGTCAGAGATACGGTTCATATAATTTTCATCTTTTTTTACAGTGTTTGTTTTACTATAATACTTTTGACTGTTATGGCGAAACAAACACTGCGAAAAATTATGAGGATGGCATCACTATCTTGCTCATGAATATGCAAATAGCATCGATTTTATATTGATCGTGCAATTTGCATATTCATGAGCAAGATAGTGATGCCATTGTAAGCACTTTGATCAAACAATAGTGAAACTTAGGATCATAGTTTGGACAGAAAAACATCTTGAAGAGTCCTCAATCGCATCCACAATAACAAACCCAAAGGTGTTCAAAACAGCGTGGATATTGTAAAATGCGGGTGATGTGTGACCCTTCAAAACTGTGAAATCTGAATGTTATCGTGTTTAACTTCGCAATCATTTGGTAGAAGAGCCATAAATGATGGCATCAGTCAGTTTGTTTGGGACATCATCAGCGTTCATTCTCCTAAGCCGGTCTTAAATGGCGTTTGAGACTGGCCAAGCACATAATTATTCCAGTTCAAAAATACTTTTTGTATAATTCAGCAAATAAACACGACGAACGTACACTTTAATTAAAAGCAACTGTTCATTTTAACACTGGTAACAGGTTACGAACGCATTGTTGTGTTGATATTCCAAAGCGAAACACGTCGTGGTGTTTATCTCTTAAACAAAGACACGTTGAAGTGTTAATAAATTTAGACAAAATGACGCGTTTGGAAGACACAAAAACATGTTTATCAGATGTGAACATTTTGTAAACACCGAAACACCTTTACTTCCATAACGTGTTTTATTTTAAATGGTTACATGTTAGTGTTGATTGGTTTTTACAGCATAAAGTTTAATTAATGTTTTGCCATTTTTTCCCCTTTTATTCAATTTATCTCCAGGGGACACTGTCAAATGCCTGTTGTTCCTGCCTCTGTGCAATTTAAATAACACGAACCAGCACCTTGACTGCCTTAGTAGCACTGGCATTCTACTTGGATAGAAACCGAAGTCAATCTGTATGACAAGGGAAAATTTTTAAACGCACAGTTAAGTTTCTGTGATTAAAAAATATCTTTCGAAATTGTGATGTTTCAAAACTTTATTGGGGGAAAGAAGACGATATTTTATATCATTTTTTTCGGGCTTGGGCAAGAAGTTTACACTTCTTTTTAATGGTTTAAAACTGTAATTCACTTAAAATGGATTTCAACACAATTCTTGTATTACCCCAGATTTCCTTGATATTCAAAACCCACCCACTTTGGGAGAATAGTTTAGCTTCTTTGAAGGCCAGTAAGCAAGGCAGACTGCGTAGCCGCTGGACATATTAAACAACTAAAATCCAACGCCCGTGATAAACGCGTAGTTGCGTTTTCCGTGTAAACGTTTAAATGAAACACCTGTTTGGAAATAAATGCGTTTCAGTGTTCAGAAAGTGGCATATGATCAAGATTTGGGATAGAGAGAACCCCCGGCCTTTGTGTTGGTCATCACTTGATCGGAATCTCAGGAATTCTTTACGGACTTTTAGGAGGGATGTGTTAGGTAACAATAGCCTAGAGTGNTTGGACATGTGGGGGGTACCCATCGGCACCATATCGTGCACGGTATCGAAAGTGGTACCACGCAATAAAGGTGTGTTTTGTGTCTTGTAATCAACGCCCAAATGTGTCAAGTCAGAAACGATGTTTAGCTTTGGATTATTAACGCCACAACGCATTCACAGTGTGAAAACGGTGTTAGCAGGAGGGAGTTTTATAAAATGCATCAAAAAATTAACAAATATTTTACAATGTGAATTTAAAGATTTTAATTTAAAAGAGAAAGTTGCTCAGAATGTCTTGAACATAAAATCTGTTATCATTACCAGTACTTTCTTTTAACCTAAGCTTATGTAAATAGAAGCCGTCAGACATGTCGTTGACGTACTTGCCCACGTTTTCCCTCCCTCCATTTATTTTTGAACACGAACATATTTTCATTATTCGGTTGATTTAAAACTACCAATGTTGATATTATTTCTCGAGTGACAAAATATTTCCCAGTAGAGTAAACATGAACGGGACGGTGTCTTTCTGTGTGTTTGCTTACGATGATGCTGAGTACTTTTTCACCAGTTCACTCTGTATTCACCTCCGTCGTTGGTCACAACCTTGGAGGCAAATATCGAATTTTTGTCCCTTTTTTTATGAATCAAGAGGGCTGTGTCCGCCGGGGCCCTGCGTACGAATAAGAATAATCAGCCCGAGAGCGCACCACGCGTGAGCCCAAAGTGAAACCGGATCTTTGGCCAGGGCTGGCCGACGTTGTGGCTTTTGAGTCTTGGGCCAGCGGGCCTCGGATTACCCGAGCTCGGCCCCGAGGCACGCGCTTGAGTGGCCCGGCAAAGATGGAATGACCGGTTCAAGCACGCATTTTCATTCAGTGGAATTACCGTGTGATGGGGAACAAACTAGGCCGTGTTGTTAGTCTACGCGGGAATCTGGTGTTGCTAACACCGCACGCGGCGAGTGTTTCGCTAGTTGAGATAAGCCCGATCGGAGGCCAGCTATTGTTGACACTGGCTTATTCATGTTCCAGTAACCGAGATCAAAACCTCATCTCGAAAGTTCATGTCTTTGTAAGGCCACCCGAATGTTATACATTCTCGGAGAAACTGGACAGACACTGACCACTCAAAATTTGATTCTGCATACTTGGTAGTGGGAGCCAGGTGATTAACCTTCCGCAACTCAATCAACACAAATCATTGTGCAGGGATATTAAGCAGCCTGTTCTGAAGTCAAAACACTGAGGCAGCTAGTCCCTTGATAAGTGAACGAATTATTTTTATTATCTTCATAAAAGCTATATACTGATTGTTATTCATTCAGAGCCGAATGTCGGTACCCACTCAATCTATCCAAAGAATCTAACCAAATTCCATACACAAAACCCCACCAAAAACATTCAAGGCGCCTCTTCAGCCTTAAAAATTGATTTATTTCAGTAC